GGGCGGGGGGGGGGGGGGCGATTCCTCTAATATTGTAGGTATGTGGACATTCTCAATGAATCACTATTCACTGTAAACATCCTGGCCTCTTCCGCTGTAGACACCTTCGGTATCTAACCCACAAACGCTAAAGCAGGAATTCCTGGGAGTTGCCACCCATCCTGTCGACATTCTGTTTTTTTCTGACTGCTAAAAGTCTTTCCTCCGCCTTACAGAAGGGACCCCCTTCTGCTCAAGGCGAGATGGACGTGCTGCACGTGACCCGCCTTGGCTGTCTAGTCTCTTTTTCGGAGTCAGTTCATCCTCACCTGAAACCTTGGAAACTGTCTGAATTTGGAACTTGGGAAAAGAGCTGACCTCCTCAAGGACATGGGCGATGCAGAGAAAGCTGAGAAAGGGACTAAAGAGGACAAAAGAGAAGATTTTATATTCATAAATCTTGACTATGTGCCATCAAGTTGTTTTCAACTCCTAGCAACCATATACTGTAGATAGATAAAACTCTGAGATACCATTTAAAAGGATTTTAAGGTATTATTTTGTATGTAATGATTCGGTAGGAAAAGTGCAGTCTGTTTTTCCCTGGAAATGGATTGTCAAGGGAAAATGGAAGTGCCTCATCTTTTTCGCAGTCAATGTTGCATACAAAGCCTTGTCTTGCTGCTCGTGGTGACAAGAGTGCATTCTTCAAGGAGAAACTTACTAGCTTTGTGTTTTGCTTCTCCTACCTGCTAGAGGTCACTGCTCCCATCCCGTATTTTCACATTTTGCATAAAAAAGACAGTTTCTATTTTTAAAACGGTTGCCCCATATCCCTTGGTCCACCTAGCTCATGATTGTCTGCTCTGACTGGCAGCAGCAGTCAGTTTCGCCTGATGCTTTTCACCGGCAGTATCCGGAATTAAATCTGTTGCCTTCTGCTTGGAAAATATGCGTTCTCCTGACGACATGGCATAGAGCAGGATTGCCAACTCAGAATTATTTTATACATCCAGAAATAAATACGTCTTTTTAAAATCTGCAGATCCCTTGGCTACCTTGGATGGCAGCTTTCCCCAACCAGTGTGCTTCAGGTGTGATGGCTGTTCAGGCAGCATTCGGATGGTTGCTCTAGCCTCAACCACGCTTCGATACAAACTTGTGGGGAAATGGTCCTGCTTAAAGAAACCTACTGTAAACAAACAAGGGAGCAGAACTAGAGATGGGAAAGCCTGGAAAAAAGCCAGAAAAAGTGGGGAAAAAACAGGGTTTTTTTCTGTTTTTTTCCAAAGCCCTTTTTTTCCAAAAAAAATTGGAAAAGTGTGTGGAATATGTTCTTTTCCAATGATAAATAATATATCTATGATACGGTATTCAAACTATATAACATGAAGACCTTAATGAAAGATTTCTGAGACTTTTTGTAAAGCCTTAAATTATTGCAAGTTCTCTCAGCTGAAGACAAGCAAATCCTGGAATAGAATTCAAGTA